CAGCCGCAAGCTCCGGCCCCACGGCAGGCGCTCCCGGCCACCACGGAAGCAGCCCCGCGCTCACCTTGACCGCTGCGCTCACTGGCGTCCGCGCCAGTCGCCCAGGCACCTGCAGCGTCGCACCCAGGGCGGTGCCCGGGAGACGGCTTCCTGTTCCCAGCCCCAGGCGCGGCGACCCGGCCCCAGCCTGCCCCCCGCCCCCGCTTATTCCACCGGTGGCGGGAGCAGGCACCCTCCCCTTTCCAAGGCCGCCCCAGGCCCGGGCACCTCGCCCCAGCCAGCCGCCCAGAATCCCCCGCTGCAGTCACCGCAGCTGCCAAGTCCCAGGATCCGTCGGCCGCATCCCTGGCCCATCGCTCACCAGGCCTGGGCTTCCAGAAGTGCTCTCAGGTGACCGCTCGGATTCTCGCTGCCCGCAGGGAGTGGTGGCCCCCCCTTCCCCTCCCAGGCACTGGGCCTGGGAGGTCAGTCATGGTATTTCACCATGACAAATAATTTAATGACAAACAGGACAAACTTGTCTCTGAGAGGCCCCGGTTTCCTGGAAGGGTCCCTGTCCTTGTCATATTAACAGGAATTAATTTATCTGATAAATGTGCTGCCACCCTGAGGCCCTAGTATATATATATATATATATATATATATACTATATATATATATATATATATNCAGTCCATGCTGGGTGTGTGGGGTACAGTCGGGGCTCTCTGCCAGCCAGGAGACCGAAGTGTATCTCTGTCTCTAACCTCTCTCCATAGATTGTACCCGAAATTTCACCCACCATTAGCTTCACTCCTTTGCATTAAGGTTGTAATAGGCCAGTACAATAAGTTTCACAGATTCTAATCCTTTTTGCTCCTTATGAGGGAAAGGGGAGGTGGGGATATTTCTTAGGGGTCTAAGGCCTCAAGGGGTTGTGCACTACACAAACTGTTTGCTCTAGACTTTTCCTTAAGGAATGCTAATTGTTTAAACCATCCATAGAGGGTGAAGTTTTAGATTTTCTCAAGAGTAATTACCCAGTGTGTAAACTTGGTGTGAGGCAGAGCATATAGTCATCAATGTGGCGGGTGGAAGGCTGTAATAAGCCAGGAAATAGGGCCCTTTATGGGTGTAGTCCTAGTTCCTTGCCTTGGCTGGGAACCACTAATAATAGCAGAAGAAGATGATTTCTACCAGACAGAACCAACCTCCCAGGTGTAGGGGACAGTGATCTGTACCAATAAGGGCCTGAGAGTGCCTGGAAACACACAGATGTTGACTCTTTTGTGCCTGAGTTCAAGGACTCTGAAGCTTACTCTGTGGTGGACACTATACCTACCAAAATTCATTCCCCTATTAGCCCAAAATAATTAAGTGGTAGTCACATGGTTGCCTAGCCAGAGACTATATTTCCCAGTCTCCCTTGTGGGTAGGTAAACTATATGACTTGGTGGATGGTGAAGGAAGGTAATATGTGCTACTTTCCAAGCTGGGCCTTAAAACTTTAGGTGTGTACTCCTCTATGCTCTCTCCTCCTCTTCCCATAACCTGGGACCCAAATATATCTATAACTCAGCCATGACCATGCTGAGGTTAAAGTCTTAGGGCTGTGGAAGCAACATGATGGAAAGAGCCAAGGCCCTGATTGTGTGGTCAGAGCCAATGTGGACTTGCCAATGTGGATTGCCTACCTTGGGACTGTTATTTGAGAAATCAGCTTGTGTCGTTTATGTTCCTGTGTGGTTTAAAAGGGAGCTCTTTGTTATAGCAGCTAGTCCTTTACCCACATACCCACTGTATTCTGTATTTCCTTCTCACGTACATATTCTCTAGGTAAAATTGAGAAGGCATGATATTGTTAATATGATCTCTCTGTCTCTCTTGATTTTCAGTTTATCATTTATCTGTCTGTCTTCTTTCTGTCCATCCATCCAC